TTTGTCTTTATATGCGTGGACTCGTAAGGTCACATAAATTATTGCAATACTTACGTAACGGCGTAACATAGAATACTTAATAACAAAGAATCTTAAGACGACCGAACGAGCTTAGCATCGCTGGTAAGTTCCGACGTAAAATCCAGTTTCACCCACTTTAAGCTTTATAATGCCAGAATGCTATAATTTTGTACAGATATGTGAAGAAATATATTAGTACTTATCTTGCTAATAACAACGCTACAACAGTGACATATATTTATGACTAAAATGCATCATTACCTGTAAATCAACCATTTCAATTTGTATACGTATAATGAAACGTGCTTTATACGACAAAGTTTCAAATTAAATACACCAGAAATAGAAGCTGTGTAAATATTAAACCATGTATCAATTGGCTCTCTTTCAATATCTTCTCAGAGTTATAACGGAATATAAATAATATTTTTTTTGTAGAAATGTTATTGGTTTTATTCAGTACGGATAATTCCATAAAGAATAAAAAAAAATATATAATAAATGTTTATAATTAAGCACAAAGCTACACAATGGGCTATCTGTGCTCTGCCCACCACGGGTATCGAAACCCGGATTCTAGCGTTGTAAGTCCGCACACATACCGCTGTGCCACTGGGGGGGGGGGGGCTATAATAAATGTAACATCTGCTTTAAGACTATTTCTCAAAACACATTCAAACCGGTTTATCATACGTCTTTTTGTTATTTATTTTTCTCTCAAAAAGCATTATTAACACAAAGATCTAAACTGTACGAGTCTGTTTTGCTCAGATGAAGTCTTTGAAATGTTGCACATAAATATCGACCTAGCAAGTAAACATGAATAATTCACTACAGTGTTTTCGAGTTACATACAGTGCGTAAGAGGAGATATCCCTTTGTATTGTGAATGATTAAGTGAAATAGCTTAAAACTATTCACACGACTCGGAGTAATTTATAATCCGACAATGTGAAATATCAAAGCTGGTGAAGCATAAACGCCTTTAAACATTGAGCATATGGCATAGTGAGATTTTATTTGAAGGATGTAATAACAGAATGTGCTAGAATGTTACACTAAATTCAAAAATACAAGCTGTTATTTCGAAATAATATAAAAGAACATAAATCGGTTTCATGAAATGACAAGAGGCGTTCAATTAATAATACATAATTTTCATTTCTATAACGCGTGTTTTTAGTAAATATGGTTATTACCAGAAACATTTAGAACACGAACGAATTAAATAATATAATGATTGAAAGTGAGGATATTTAGTGTCAAAATTACTACGTGTTATTCCAGTAGCGCCACATCAAATAACGAAGCGATTGTTACACAGTTAGGCCCGATTCCTTGAAAACAGGTGAATTGTAGTATTTACAAAAAGTTTTGAAGAAATAAAATATGCAGAATTTTACTTCGTTTTAGGAAATTACAAAGACTGAGGGCTTATAAGGCTAAAAATCGGTTTTCGATACCCACGGTGGCTAAAACACGGATAGTCCATTGCGTTTACCGACAAACGTCAATACTTGTTGACATTTAATCGGAGAAAACATACAAGATAAATATAAATATTAAAGTTAATCACACACTTTGAATAAAAAAATACAACGAAACAAGTTTTTCCTCACAAAAACAAAAAGCATGTTTGCTGAAAAAATAAAGTTAAAATTCAGTTCTTGACAACCATATCTACTGACTGGATCTTGACAATCATTTCAACTGACTCGCTCTTGACAACTACATCTACTGATTCGCTCTTGACAATCATATCTACTGACTCGATGTTGACAACCATATCTACTGATTCGCTCTTGACAACCATATCTACTGACTCGCTCTTGACAACCATATCTACTAATTCGCTCTTGACAACTATATCTACTGACTCGATCTTGACAACCATATCTACTGACTGGATCTTGACAACCATATCTACTGACTCGATCTTGATAACCATATCTACTGACTCGATCTTGATAACCATATCTACTGACTCGATCTTGATAACCATATCTACTGACTCGATCTTGACAATCATTTCAACTGACTCGCTCTTGACAACCACATCTACTGATTCGCTCTTGACAACTATATCTACTGACTCGATCTTGACAACCATATCTACTGACTCGATCTTGACAACCATATCTACTGATTCGATCTTGATAACCATATCTACTGACTCGCTCTTGACAACCACATCTACTGATTCGCTCTTGACAATCATTTCAACTGACTCGCTCTTGACAACTATATCTACTGACTCGATCTTGACAACCATATCTACTGACTGGATCTTGACAACCATATCTACTGACTCGATCTTGATAACCATATCTACTGACTCGCTCTTGACAACCACATCTACTGATTCGCTCTTGACAATCATTTCAACTGACTCGCTCTTGACAACCACATCTACTGACTCGATCTTGACAATCATATCTACTGACTCGATGTTGACAATCATTTCAACTGACTCGCTCTTGACAACCACATCTACTGATTCGCTCTTGACAATCATTTCAACTGACTCGCTCTTGACAACCACATCTACTGATTCGCTCTTGACAACCATATCTACTGACTCGATCTTGACAATCATTTCAACTGACTCGCTCTTGACAACCACATCTACTGATTCGCTCTTGACAATCATTTCAACTGACTCGCTCTTGACAACCACATCTACTGATTCGCTCTTGACAATCATATCTACTGACTCGATGTTGACAACCATATCTACTGATTCGCTCTTGACAACTATATCTACTGACTCGATCTTGACAACCATATCTACTGACTGGATCTTGACAACCATATCTACTGATTCGATCTTGACAACCATATCTACTGACTCGATCTTGACAACCATATCTACTGATTCGCTCTTGACAACCATATCTACTGACTCGATCTTGACAACCATATCTACTGACTCGATCTTGACAACCATATCTACTGATTCGATCTTGACAACCATATCTACTGACTCGATCTTGACAACCATATCTACTGATTCGCTCTTGACAACCATATCTGCCGATTCGCTCTTGACAACCATATCTACTGATTCGCTCTTGACAACCATATCTACTGATTCGCTCTTGACAACCATATCTACTGATTCGCTCTTGACAACCATATCTACTGACTGGATCTTGACAACCATATCTACTGATTCGCTCTTGA